AGCGCCGCGCTGCCCGCCCTGAGGGACCCGCAGCCGCCCGATGCTTCTGACAATGAAGACCTGACCAGTGTAAAAGACAGACAGTGTGCTTAATCCTAAAGAGGCAAATAAAAGAAGAAATGAATCTTGCAGATGTGTACAAACATTCACAAGACAACTGTAAGAACAACTGTTTTTAAAGATTCTTGTTAATCGGGAAAATAATAAAAAAAGACCTTTACAGAGGAACTTGTATTTATGACTGAATGGAAGTCAGGGCCACTCCAAAATAAAGATATTGAAGCAAGACGTGTAAAAGGTGAAAAAACATCAGTAAAATTAAGAAGCGACATGGAGAGATGACTCACCAAACAAATATCCAAGTCAGTGAGCATTCTCAGACAGAATGGTACATGCAAAAACCATGGAAGTATACCAGAGAAACTTGCAAATTGTAGCACCCCTTCAGAAGTCAGCATGTTTTTGGAAAAAAGCAAAGGAACAAGAGAAACACTATTACAAATTACCTACCACCTGTCCTGGCCAGCCATATTGAGTTAGTGCAACCAATCAGTGTTCCATATGCGAGTTTACAATCTCTAACAGCCCAGAAAAAAACTGAACAAAATACAACCATGCTGCATGAGGGCACATGTGAGCTCTGAAGGTGCATACATGTGAGCTCAGCGGAATGCGAACCAGCTTGGCATGACAATTGCAAGGCAGCCAAGAGAAACTGGAGAGCTGCAAGGTGAACTACTTGGAAAGGACTGGGAATAACTGGTTACTCTTCTTTCAATGCCCAATGAAAGAAGCCACATACTCTGAAGTATCAGAAGACTGAGATAACTTTAGAGAGCTGACCGAGAACAGGAAGAGCAATGCACACCAAGACACTGCTGTAAGACAAATCATGGAGTGGTGTTTGGACAATCATCGGCTTCACCAATTAAAAAAAAAAAAAAAAGCCATAGATCACAGAGCTAGAGAACAGAGCAGTAGTTCTTCCAAGGAAGTATGTTAATGTCATCATAATGTATCACAGATAACCTAAACACAATGCACAATTTAACATCAAGTTACAAAGTGCATCTTGCTATTTGGCTTATGGAATGGACATGACTTATTAAAATGCTTGCATCTTCCCATTCTTTCAGAAGAGACAAGATATGCATTCAGATGTCTTCACATTTTCATAGCTTACTATCTAGCTGATAAAGTACCCTACTTCACCTAGAACAGGTACCCTGATTTCACAGCTGTTAGATTTTTTTTTTAATAAAGTCACTTTTTAAATTACTAGGCTGTCAATAACAAAGGCCATCCTTTTTCTTTTCTGTGACAACAGAATTAGAACTAGGCAGCAACACAAACTGCTCCCACTTAGCAGCAAGAATCATCTACTAATTTCAGTGATCCAGATTAAAAGATTGACAAGTATCAGCTCTCTCATCCATATATTCCTCTCATTCTTCATCACATTATCAGTTTTGAAGTTTCTATATTTTTCTAAAAGCATGCTTGATCCAATGTTGGAACAACTCCACCTATCTTTAGGTGCTTCACAGCATCTAAAAAGGCTTAGAATCCACTCTCTGTATAACAAACGTTTATTCAGAAACAGATAATACAAGATCTTCTCCAATTCCTAATGTTTCCTCCCCCTCCCTCCAATTGTTTGTTTGTTTTTTTTTTTTAAATAAAACACAAGTGTTTGATGGGCAATCTAAAAAAGGAGAACCACAGCTGTCTTTGGTCCCCTCCCCTACAAAAATCTGCTGCTGCACAAAGCACCCTACTAATAATGGTGGCATTGGTTTCCAAACGAAAGAGAGCACTCTGGAAAAAACAAGTCCTGCCAAGTCCTCAGTTATTTCCATGGCTAAAAAGGGATACTGTGAGATAGAGGAATAGTCTGTACCAGCTAGATAGAGCAAAAAGTTAATACAAAACAAGAAACCAAAAGAAACATAGGGTTGGCCAAGAAATGGAATCTGGACCTACAATGGTTACAGAGAGTTCACTGAAGTTCAGCAGAGCTGAACAGAATGGATTAGGTTAGTCTCCTAGCTAGAAGGATCAAGTTCAAACCCCAATCAGATAGATTGTGAGCTTTCCTCTCTTATAACACAATTTGAACAAATACAAACAAACAGAGCTACTGGGACTTCAAATATCCATGGCAATAATGGTGTACCAACAAAGGAAATACTGGACATGCCACCTAGTGGCCTCTGGCTCATCACAGATGCTCACTGGCCCAAGGTACACCCGTGCTGCTCCGTGTGTTCCTTACAGAGTGCTAACTGCTCTCCTCTCCAAAACCTCTCCCTGAAGCCATGAAGTGCAGCAATCATCCTCCAAACCCATGCATGTGAGCAGCATGCCCGCACAGCTGCCAAACATTGTCCAAATGACATCTCTCAAAGAAGTGAGTTCCCAGGTGCAAGAAAAGACTACTTCCTATGTATCAGTATCTGAAAAAGGTCCCAACTCCTTCCTCTTTACAGGAAACTGGCAAGAAAAAAAAAATTAATGTCCCTGCATCAGCAGGAGGATGCAATATGGTCTAATGGGAGCAAAACATTTGCATTTCCTCTAGCTCTGAACACAAGATTTGTTCTTATTTTTCAGTCTGTAAGGAGAGCAACTGGGTGAATATATTAATTGTACAAATGTCAGGGCCTTTTTTCTCCCCTCACCTCTCTGCATTACCACAGTTGAAGCATTCCTCCCAGAGTACAATGGGTGGTGTACTTCCGCTATGTCCTTTCTGCCTGATACCTCTGTTGGCTGGTATACACAGTGGGAAGCTCAGTTTTTCCACATCTCACAACATGACAGCTGCTAAGCAGAAAAATGTCCAACAGCCAAGAATGAAGTAGTACGCTACCAAATGCATACAAGTCAAAGATGCAAGATGGTGCTTCCTGTATAGAGCCACACCTGACTTTGTAGGCAGTGCAGCAATTTCAGAAACAATGTGGTGTTCTTGCCTGTTGAAAATCAAAGGGATGCACCTTTTAGTTAAAGGTCAATCAGGAGAAAAGAGAAGGAGATGACCACTCCTTCCCTCAAAGTCTATGTGCACTTTTAATGGCCACTAGGGGCTTTGGAGTAAAGGAAGGAGTTACATGGTATATGTTTGGTAATACATTACTGGCAGAAGGGGGAGGTTATTCTTTTGGAAAAAAAATTGTGGAAGAAAACTCCAACTATGAAAACAGAAAGTACACACACAAGAGGAAACACTATTGTACAGTAAGGTAGCGATCATAGAAAACAAAAAAGTTTCAAGGCAGGCAAATGCAAATAACATCTGCACTCCTGCACTTTTCTCATTCCCCAACTTAAATGCATTTTCCAGTCC